CGAAATAAAATAGCTCTCGTAGACCAAAACTCCGAGGAGAAAATCTCGTACAAAATCTAGGGTTGGTTCCCGAATAAAACCAAACATAGGTGACGCTAATGAAAACAACGAACCCCAGGCGGTAATCTCTCAGAGGAAATCTGCCACCAGTTTAGACCTGGTACATGCCCGAGTGACTGGTGTTGGCCTCACAGATTCTGGAAGAGTCCACGAAGTGCTATGCTTTCTAACATCCGAAAGCAAAAGACAACTAGTGGTTGGTTAAACGATTGAACCAACGAACCACAGGATATAGACCAGAATAGCCAGAATGAACATCAGCTGACACTGGCTAAATCAACGGTAGTCGCTCACCTACAGTAAACCTTGAACGACACAGGAAGCGAGAAGTAAAAGGTACTAGGTAGGATGACAGATGTCCTACAAAGTAATGAAAAAAGCAATTGACAGGCAGCCAAACGTCAGCAGCACAGTCAAGGAAGCCAGAGTTCACCTGGAAGAAATCTGTGGGATCTTAAAGGACTTTAAAGGCCGCCGCCAGAAGACTGTTAGAGAGATGTTAGTGTTGAGGACATCTCTGCCAACTCGTGTAATGAGACAGCCTCCGAAAAAGAGAGGTAGAGACGATGGCGCTACTGAGAATCGGAGTGTATCAAAACAAAGCAAGAACGACGACGACAAACTGTGGAGGGAAGTCGTAAACAAAAGAAAGCCGGCACTTGCGAACCGCAAGGAGCAAGTGGCTGCTGAAAAGAAGCTGGTAGGTAGCACACCGACTCGAAACAAAGGTAAGCCAGGAAAGGAAATAAAAAAGTGAAGAAAGGCAAAGGAAAGAAGCGAGGCCATCTTCGTGGAACTAGCAGAAGGAAAGTCATACGCGGAAGTACTGGGAGCATTCCGAAACGTGGTCGACCCGAGAGACTGCGGCGTGGAAGCTAGCAGAATACCTATCACATAGGCTCGTTGTACTCTGGTGCAGCTCGCCAAAAGCACTAAAGACAAGGAGAAGTTGACGCAGGTTATCTCACTGGCTATCGGTACCGCAGGAAATGTCCAGTCAAGGAAACCTAGCGTTACCTTGAAGGTACGAGACTTAGAGGCAGTCGCCGATAAAGAGGAAGTTTAAGCAGCCATCAAAAAGGCTGCTAAGACCAGAGAAGATCCAGGCCAAATTAAAGTAGCTATGCTACCGCCAAACCGATGGCAGGAAAGAATGGCGCTGGCTGAAATGGAAAAAGCTGGCGCTTTGTCCCTTTCAGCAGTGGGTTGGATCCGGTGCCTACTAAGGCGCAGGATTACCGTCCAGCGATGCTACCGGTACCTGGGATATGGGCACACACGATACGACTGTAGAGACCTGGACAGATCAAGCCTCTGCTGGAGAAACGGCAAAGGCAAATACAGAGGTAAGGACTGCAAGGCTGAACTACGATATGTCCTATCCAGTGAATCCGCGCATGGAGAAGAGAGCACTAATCATGTGCCTTTAGACAGGTCCGGGACAAAAGAAAAAAAAAACCTGACATAATGCTTAGAGTTCTCTAAAGAAACATAAACGGGGCAATTAACGCAGAAGCCCTTCTGCCGCAATTATTATGTAAAAAAAGGGTAGACGTAGCACTCATGAGAGACCATGACAGGAACTATAAGCCGCCTAAGTAGCTTAGCAATGCAACAAATATGTCGGCCATTTCAGTTCCTAGACCAGACAAAATCTGCCAGAAATACAGGAGAAGAATAACCTACCTCGAAGATACCATCAGGGATGGCATGAAAGGTGACCTATTAGCGGCTGGAGACTTCAATGCAAAAACAGTAGAATGGGAAATACCTACAACGAACTTTAAGGGGCGGGCAGTCCTAGATATGGCCCCAAGGCTAGGATTGGTCGTTGTAAACAAAGAAAGGACCACAACTTTCCGAAGGCAAGATTTGGTGAATCAATACCAGATATTACACTGGCTTCGAGGAGCCTTGCGACAAGAGTGAAGAAATGTCAGGTAATCGAGGACAAAAATGGCAGGAATTACCAATACATCGTCTTTAAAATCAGCGATACAATAGGCTCAAGAGGCATAGCACGCCAAACAGGATGGAATGTTAAAAAACTGGACACTGAACAACTAGCGGAAAAAGTTAAGAATGGCATCGCTGCTATCCAAAGCGAAAAACAAAACCTAAGCACAGTAGAAGGCGTACAGAAGCTCATCAAGGCAGCCATGCATCTTCTAAAATTCGCATGCGAGGCCTCCATGCCCAGGAAAAAAAGATTGAACGGCAAACGCTCAACTTACTGGTGAAACTAGTGAATTGAGAAATTAGGGCGCAAATGTCTCAAACACAGACCCCTATATCAAAGGGCCAGAAACAGACCAGAGGCTTGACAAAGGTACTCCGAGTACCAGCTTACAAGAAAGACGATGCGAGCTGCTATTTAGTACAGCAAAAAGCAGTACTGGCAGACTCTGTGCCAGGAAGTAAATAACGACCTCTGGGGCAGAGCATACCAGATAGTGATAAGGAAACTAGGAAGACTTGAACGGTTGGTGTGCGGGATGGGGGCCTGTGTGGGTGCTTTAGCGCGTGCGGACCTCCTTAAACCGCTATGCTTTATCACCTTTTTACCGATGAACAGCTGTACCTCGGTGGCCTAGGTGCCCGCCCCATGGGCTCTGCAGTGGATACGCTCTTTGCACCTTCGTCGGGGGTGGCAAAGTTTAAGGCTCGCGCTGAGGAGCATCTGCTTATCATTTTTCTCCTTTCGTCTAAGTAAACAGGGAAGAGCAGCTTGGATGCATTTTAGAAACTAGAAAATACCCTAGAGAACATAGAAGTTACAAAACTTGCTGGTAACAAAACACTGAAAGAAGCCGAAACCAGAGGCTAAGCCACCATGGCGAATGCGAGAGCAGATTATGGACCGGGTGTCCCAGGATAATGGTCATGCCAGATTAGTGGGTATGGTTATAACAAGTTCCACACAGGGTAGGGATCGTTCACCATTCTATCTAGCATAAATACATTCCAGACAAACTCAGAAAAAAAAAAAAATTCTAATAATAATGATGATGATGATGATGATGTCAATGACGATGATGATGTCAATGACGATGATGATTATAGTTATAATGATGATAAATTTGTAAGCGATAATGATGTTAATGACTATGATCGTGGTGACGTTGATAACAATGATAATGAAAGTGATGACGACGATAATGATTAAATAGTAATGATAGAAGATATAGTAATCATAATTATGGTAATGATCTCCAATGTCTCAAACACAGACGCCTCTATCAGAGGGCCAGAAACAGACTAGACGCCAGACAAAGGTACTCCGAGTACCAACTTGCAAGAAAGACGATGCAAACTGCTATTAAGAACAGCTAAAATCAGTGCTAGCAGACTCTGTGCTGCAAAGTTAATAACGACCTCTGGGGCAGAGCATACCAAATAGTTATGGAGAAACTGCGAAGACTTGCACCAACTGCAAATTAAGACGTGGATACCATGAGGCATATCGTGGATACGCAATTCCCAACGCATCGTGAACTTGAGGATCAAGCAGACTTGGAGCTCATAGAAGATGTACCTTTATTCACCCAGAAGGAACTGGAGCTAGCTACCAGATCGCTTAAAAACGGTTAAACTTCTGGACGAGATGGTATACCAGCAGAAATCATTAAGACAGTGGTGGCAAAACACCTACAGCTGCTCTTCAACCTATATAATGCATGTTTGTGGAAGGGGTTGTTCCCAACCCCCTGGAAAAACGCACGAATGGTACTGATCAATAAAGGCATGGTAGAGCCTAACTTCCCATCATCTTTCAGGCCATGATGCATGCTGGATACCCCTGAAAAGTTATACGAAAAGCTACTTAAGGCACGTATTCTACAGGCCCCAAAACGCAGGAGACTTATCTGACAGGCAGTACGGATTCAGAAAAGAAAGGTCTACCATAAAAGCAGTAGGAGAAGTAGTAAAAGAAGTTCAGAACACTCGAGATATATGCCATAGAGCGAGACCCCTCGTTCTTCTGGTGGCCTTGGATGTGAAGAACGCTTTTAACTCAGCAAGATGTAAGGATATGCTTCACGCTCTGAAATACATATTCAGAACACCAGACTAACTCTTGAGAGGATTGAGAGATTATCTCCAGGACCACTTCTCGATCTATATGACAACAGAAGGCGAAACAAAGAAGAAAATAACTGCAGGGGCATTCCAGGATGCCATACTTGGACCCACCCTCTGAAACGTGTCATACGACAGACTACTTTGCCAGAAAATGCCAGAGGGCACGTTCTTAGTAGTATACGCGGATGTCGCTGCTGTAGTGATTGTCGAATGCACGATGGAACTTTTTTAGATACGACTTAACCAGTTTATGTGGAGAGTGGCTCGATGGATGGAGAACCACGGACTTGAAGTTGCAGCAGGGAAGAAGGAGATGGTACTATTAACAAGAAATGAGGTAGATACCATCATATTTCTCAAGGAACAAGAGGAAGAAGTAAAAACGAAGGATGCCGTAAAATACGTAAGGGTGACGCTGGATAGAAATTTTACGTTTTAGAGTCATCTTAAGCAAGCAGCAGACCAGGAGTCGGCAAAAGTAGCGGCATTAAGCCGAATCATGCCGAACGTTAGAGGTCTAAAGCCTGCAAAACGCAGGCTTCTTATGTCTACAGCCCAGTCTATTATTTTGTACGGGGCTGAGATATTGGAAGATGAGATGAACGTCGAAAAGAAGAGAGTAAGATCGGCCAAGTTCAAAGAATAAGAGCCTTGAGGATAGCTTGCGCCTATCGCACAGTTTCAGAGTCTGCGATAATGGTGATAGCGGGCGTAATCCCCATCGACCTCCTTGCGAGGGAAAGACGATTGGAGCAACTTACGGAGCAGGACCTAGGGAGAATGGAGGCCGAAAAAAATGCCCAGAAAATCACCTTTGAACGCTGGCAACATAGATTGCAAGAGAAATTTAGAGGTAGATGGACGGCAAGCCTAAAAAAAATATCCAGGAATGGACAGAGCGGAAACATGGGAAAGTAGATTACTACCCTACCCAATTCTTTTTGAATCACGAGTATTTCTGCTCGTACCTCAACAAAATGCGGAAAACACAGACGGCTGCTTGCAAGTTCTGCGGCTACGATAAAGATGACGCAGAGCATTCGTTCTTGGACTGCATCAAGTGGCAAGCCGAACGAAACGTGCTGCAGAAAAAGATCGGAATCTTCAATTCTGACAACATCATAGATAAAATGCTACTCAACGAAGAAAGGTGGACTGCAGTAGCTAAATACATACATACAGTTCTCCGGGTCAAAAAAGAGAATGGTTTTCGGGACAACCAAGCGGAGGTGGTGCAAGCGTAGATCCAGTGCCATTGGAAGAGGGCGTGGGGATGTGTTTTTTGCTGTCCTGTCTGGGGGGTTCAGAGGGGATGGGGGCAGAGCCTTGGGGATGGGGCTGCTGGGGCGTGGCCGTGGGGCGGTTAGTGTGTGGGATGAAGGCCTGCGTGGGTGCTTAAGCGCGTGCAGACCTCCTTAAACCGCTATGCTTTATCACCTTTCTACCGATGAGCTGTTGCAGCTTAGAGGCCCATGCTTTCGGGTGCTTCGATTCTGAGGCTTTTTTTTTTCAGGGCTGGGCTTCTAAGGTGCGGTCACGGGGCAGTCAGTGTACGGTAAAGAGGCTTTTGTGGGTGCTTGTAAGCGGGCCGGCTCTTGAGGGCCACTTCGCTGTATCACCTTCCAACCGATGGGCTGCTGTACCTCGGTGGCCCGGGTCTCTGCCACTCGGACTCTGCAGTGGGTGCGCTTCTTGCGCCTTTGTTAGGGGTAACCAGGTTTGGGCTCGCGCTGGGAAGCAACTGCCTAATATATTGCTCCATCCTTCCAAATAAACAGAGAAGAGCAGCTCAGATGCATGACAAAAACTATAAAATATCCTAGAGGACGCAAAAGTTTCAAGACAAGTTGATAACGAAACACTAAAGAAAGCCCGAACCAGGGGCTAATGGGCACTAAAGGGGGAGGATGTGCTTTCCTTTAATAGAGCATACCTTCCTTTACTACGAAAGTTTAAATGTCCCGATCGAGTTCATCGCCCTTTACCGTCTACCTTTGCGGCTCCGCCTATATAAGCGCTGGCTTTTTGTTGTAATTTATTGTCAGTCGATAGCACGACAGGTGACGAGTAAGTCAACCAAACTTACAAATTCTCGCGTACCTGCGGTAACAATTTACATCAAAATTTATTGTATTTTGTGTTTGAGTCTTCCAGATCACTCATTGTGTGTTTTTAATTTTAATTTTGTAGCCTGATGAGGCTGACGCATATTGTCAGCAAAACGTTGGGCATTAACAAATCAACGCAAGAAAATTTAAATACACTTTACTTGTATTTATTTATTTTCTCACATTTCGCCCCCAACGGATCACTGATCACTTTGAATTTTCAATAATGATAATAATAAAGATAAAAATGATAGTGATATCAATGACTTTATNAAAATCATAATAAAGATAACATTAAAAATAATGATGATGATTATAATTAATATTATTTTTATATTGTTAATGATCATGATGATCATCAACACCTTAGTTCTAGCTACAACAATGATTACTATGATAATTACAATATTCATAAAAGTTGAGGTCATCATGATTGTGGTAAAGGTAAGGATGTTGATCATGATGATGATTATGCTGAAGATTCGGATGATACGGATGATAATTATTATTATGATGATATTTATGAAAATGATCACATCGTTAATGGTGATGATGATGATAATAACGATTGTGATGTTTATGATGATGATGATAATGATGACAATGATCGTGGTGATTATGATGATGATGATGATGATGATGACGTTGATGATGTTAAAATAATAATGATAATGGTGATGATGATAATAATGATGAGAATGATGATATTAATGATAAGATGGTGAGTATAATGATGATGTTGATGATAATTATGTTTATTCTGACGATAATGATGTTCGTTGGTTTTTAATGTTCATTTAAGGCAATTTTTAAGTTACTCTTACTTGTTTATAGACCCTTCTTTAAAACTTGCGACTTTATGTCTCTTGGTGTCTTAAGATATTTTGAGTTCGTCTGTGTAACCTCTGTATACATTATGTTGAAAGTTTTTTGTAAGAAATGTATTATTGCCTTGCATTTTTTTGAATTTAATGTGTTTTTCCTAGAGAATATATACAGTACTTATTGAATTATTAACTACAATGTTATTAAAAGAAATAACTAGACAAAATTATAATGCTGATACATACCGTATAATAATAATACCAATGACAACAGCAGAGTTAATAACTATAATAATAATGATAATAATAACTATTATAACGATAACGATCATAACAATAACAATAATTTGAACGATAATGACAAAATAAATAATAGTAGAAATATGGATAATGATATTAATAACGATTTCAATAATGATGATGATAAAATGAATAATCATAACAATTATAGTGATATCAATAATGTTCATATAAATAATTATAAGAAAGCCACTAATAACTATTATGATAGTCACAATATCAACAATAATGTTAATGACAATGAATATGATGATAATAAAGATGATGGTCATAAAACTAATGATAACAATGATTATCATAATAAGAATAATAATTATGGTAATGATAATAATGACAATGATGATACTGGTAAAAACGATACTAATAATAATGATGATGATGATGCTAATGATACTAATGATGATAAATTCAGTGATAATTATGACAAGAATAATTGTTATGATAATAAAGCTAATGTTAATCAGGATAATGATAATAAAAGTAATGACAATGTTTATGTCGATAATGATGATGAAAAAAATAATGACAATGATAATAAACATAATAATGACGATAATGTTGATAATAATGATAATAACAATACCAAGGAAAAAAAAATTATCAAGACACTAATGATAATAATATTAATGACATTAATAATAAGAATGACAATTACAAGAATGATAATAACGACAATAACAATAATAATCATTATAATGGAAAAGATAACAATTATGATTGTAATAATAATAATTATGACGGTAACAATAATGATTTTGTTGACAAAGATGATGTTGATGAATATAAATATGATAGAAATGACGAATATGATGATAACAATAACGTCGTTTTTATCAATGATAAAATAAAAATTGATGATATAGATGATGACGATGATGATGATGATGATTACGATGACAATGAAAATCATAACGATACTGATAACAATAATGATATTGATAATAATGTCGATAATAATACTGGTATATAATATTTATGATGATGATAGGATGATGATAATGATAATAAGAATGATTTTAATACTAATAATAATAATGATAATCATAAGGGTGGTAATGATGGTTAAAATGCCTATAATGATGATATTGATTGTGATGATGGCAATTGTGTTGATTATGGCGATGATGATGATAATTGTCTTAATTACAATTATAACAATTATAATGTTAAGGACCATGAAGTTGATAATCATTATACTTATATGGATATCAACTATATTAATAATGATAATAATACAATTAATAGTTATAGAAATNTGATAATTATAAAAAAATAATAATAATGATTATATTGATAATGACAATAATTATAATGATAACGATAATGATAATAAAATTTAAAATATAGACGAAGTTGGTAATATTGATGATATTGACAACAACGTTAAGAATGATTGTAAAAATGATGACAAGAATGATGATAATATAACCGATGATGGTAATAATTATTTTTAAAAAAATGTTTATAATTATAAGGATAGTAGAGAAAATTTAAAATAGTATTAATAATAGAAATTGTGATGATAAAAATGATAGTTTAGAAAATGATAATGATGATGATATTCATGATGATAAAAATAATGATAATTCTTATTATTGGTGTTACAATAATAGTAATGTTGATAATAATAGTATTCGCAATAAGTCAGTAGACAATATCAACAATTATGCTGATAATTCCAGTTAATGTAATGATGGTGATAATGATGATGATGACGATGATGATGATGACGATGATGATGATGATGATGATGATGATGATGATGATAATGATTGTAATGATAACGTTGAAGATGATATTAATAATATTGTTGATGATGATGATAATTATAAAGATAACAATGTTTATATCTGGTTTGATGATTGTAATGACGTTAATAATGATAAGATCAATAATGAGTATGTTTGCTAACGAAGAGGGTTATATTAATAATGGCATTGATAATAGTAATAGATTCTACGATTTCGATGATAGTTATGATGGTGGTGTTGATGATTCTAGTGACAATAGTTATGATAATGAAAATAATAATAAAAATCATAATAAAGATAACATTAAAAATAATGATGATGATTATAATTAATATTATTTTTATATTGTTAATGATCATGATGATCATCAACACCTTAGTTCTAGCTACAACAATGATTACTATGATAATTACAATATTCATAAAAGTTGAGGTCATCATGATTGTGGTAAAGGTAAGGATGTTGATCATGATGATGATTATGCTGAAGATTCGGATGATACGGATGATAATTATTATTATGATGATATTTATGAAAATGATCACATCGTTAATGGTGATGATGATGATAATAACGATTGTGATGTTTATGATGATGATGATAATGATGACAATGATCGTGGTGATTATGATGATGATGATGATGATGATGACGTTGATGATGTTAAAATAATAATGATAATGGTGATGATGATAATAATGATGAGAATGATGATATTAATGATAAGATGGTGAGTATAATGATGATGTTGATGATAATTATGTTTATTCTGACGATAATGATGTTCGTTGGTTTTTAATGTTCATTTAAGGCAATTTTTAAGTTACTCTTACTTGTTTATAGACCCTTCTTTAAAACTTGCGACTTTATGTCTCTTGGTGTCTTAAGATATTTTGAGTTCGTCTGTGTAACCTCTGTATACATTATGTTGAAAGTTTTTTGTAAGAAATGTATTATTGCCTTGCATTTTTTTGAATTTAATGTGTTTTTCCTAGAGAATATATACAGTACTTATTGAATTATTAACTACAATGTTATTAAAAGAAATAACTAGACAAAATTATAATGCTGATACATACCGTAAGTTGTATGCGACATCAAATTGTTTTTGTTACTAAAAGGGTTTTTTGATTAATTTTTTTTATGACAGAGAAATATCATAAATGGCTTATTGGTTAAGTTAAAGAGATCGACTATTGATAACAAGTATATTATTGTATTTTTTTTCCTTTTTTTCAACAGAACTGCATGTTTAGAGGAA